TAGGGGTAGTTACGAGGCCCACTTAGTTAAATGAAAGTAGTGCGCGAGCGGGACATTTGTCTTAAACCGCCCGGGTAGCTAGCAATAGGCTAGGAGAAACAGAAGGAAAGGCACCAACACACAAGTGTGTTGAGTGCGATTTCCTTCTGTTTCCCGAGTAGCGGGTGGGGTAGCAAAGGAGGCCCAGGGGTAGGGAGGGGGAAAAAATGCACGATTAATTTGTCCGGCCTGTGAATACTTAGCAGCACATGTACATGTGAATACTTAGCCGTCAAACATCTCAGGTCAGATTGCTTGAGTACATATGCAAGATCGTGCGGAAAAGCATGTAGAAAAATGCAAACGCTGCAACACTGTCAGTTCCCGTGTTTAGGCCCGGCGGCCGTTGTGGCAGTTAATTCGGTGGACGTGGAGGTGACTTCCAGTGGAGTTCCTGTGAAAGGTGGTGAGGTCAGTTACTGCTTGCACGATGAGACAGCGCCCCAATGACGGGGATCACACTCAGCACCCGAGTGGGACGGCTGAGCGAAACACACTCTGACAATTGTATTCAGTTACACTCAATTCCCAGGTAAAATGGCGATGGAACGGCAAGGCGGCAGAGTCCGCAAATGTGTAGATGTTTGAACAAAAGAGTTTGTCACGTGACTGCGGTGGCGTGCTGCAAAACCCTCGGCGGCTGCAAGTGGCTAAAAGACCAAGGTTTGAGGGGCTGTAGCATGAAGAAGGACCATGAAAGCAACGAAAGGCGGCGAGGGGAACCATTGGAGTCAGTGTGTTCAGCGCAGGTACGTCCAGAAGGCGTCCCTTCCGGATATCACCGCGGTTCAAGGAGTGTCTTCGTTGAGTGGTGACTCCAAGACCGCGCGCCACTCCCCTGCTCAAAAAGTTGAAAGTGAGAGAAGGGGTGGAACCCTTAGATACAGGGGGTGACACACACACACACTTAGATAAAGTTTCATCCAATGCCAGAATCCACGAAGAAAGGGATGAGGGAAACGCACGGCGGCTGAGTCGACAAAATTGAAATGTTAAACATTGTTTCGAAGTAGTTACTGAATACTTAGCAGTCTTGAATTAAAGCCGTGCATAGGGGAGTAGGTTCCATAATAGGGAAGTGAGACAAATGAATCGCTTCAAATAGGTAGAAAAGGAAAAGAAACCTCCTGTTGCATAGCTAGAGAAAAGGAAAAGAAACCTCCTGTTTTTAGCTAGGGGCGAGACTGACAAATCGTACCATTAGATAGATAGAGAAGGACAACAGAAGGAAAGGAACCGACGCACACAGTCCGCCGAGAACCATTTCCTTCTGTTATCCATTTAGGTTTCAGTATAGGTGCAGGTACACAGTGGAGCGTCCCCCACTGCATCAGCACCAACTGATACCCTCTTCGTTGGACGGGCAGTATCAGCGGTGACCCGTCCCCCTGCTTGAGAGAAACAACAAGAGACGGAGAAAAGCCCTCGGACACGACTCATTGGTCTAGACCCCCCAAAAAACAACCAGGAATCCCAAAGATGTGCCAAACTTGGTGCCTAGAGCACTTATAGAGACTGGGGTGCCCCTGTCATATCCACAGCCCCTGGATGGGTCGAACCAAACCATGTAACTCCTGGAGGACGATCCCTTGAGTCGGCCGCGCTGCACTCGGTGGCCGATTTCGCCGGTGGCGACGGATCCGCGCGGAAAATGCGATCTGCCCAGCTGTCGGCTCGTGAAGGGAGGAGGTTTGCGTCGTCACCAGAGGATCGAGCCTCAAAAAAACATGAGGAAAAGAAACCCAACCATGCAGACCCAGATTTGTCTTGGAACGAGTTTGATGAAAAATAGCACATAGATCGCATAGATGCTCATAGTCCATCATACATTCCAGGAGTCCTCAGGTCCCCAGTGTCTTTTGTTCCGTCCGATCATGCAGCTGAGAAAACGGCCCGAAACAGCGGCCAAATTCGGGGACCCGAAGCCAACGCAACACCGAAGCCAAAGTCGCACGTGGGCCCCCAACGCAGCGGTTTCCGCTCCGTTTGGGTCGTCCGACGCCTCCATGGAGCTGGCGGAACTGCGAGCGATGCTGCGGGAGGTGGTGGTCAAGGCGGGAACGCACCGGTGCCCCACCGCTCCGAAAGTGCCAAAGTTTTTTTTTTTGGTGTTCTGGCCAGGCTGCCAAAACAGTTTGATGCACCTGTTTTTGCATTTTAAATGTGAAACTATGTTATCCAATTATGTTCATTCAGTGATCTGGCTGTGTTTTTTAAATAGAGACCTCTTGTTTTTCTAGTGAGATCTGGTTTTATCATTCTATAGAGGTTCCACTTGTCGTTCTTCAAATGACCGTTTGTTACTGCTGGATCTGACTTTGCATGTTATAGAAACACCTTTGCAAGTTATTTTATGGAGATTTATCCTTTGCCACCTATTCTATAGAGACCATTTCTCAAGAAAATGCCTGGCAAATGATTCCACTGGCAAAGCACGGAGGATAGAGGGGAGAGATACCCAGATGAAGAAGCTAATACAATGCTTTCCCTTCCATTGGACCATGAAAAGAGGTCGGTGGACCTGGCCTCTAACGTCAGGACCAGGAAGCCTGTCGGGAATAGGATGGAATAGGCCATATATACCAATTGCACCCCTCGTCCCAAGGACGGACCTCCTTCTTTTCGCTTTCTCGGTGAAACACCAGGGTCCTTCGCTTTGAAAAGGTCGTGCGTTGTTTGGGTTTGGGTGACGTGGGTGGTCTGGACTCGGCAGAGAGTGCAGATCACTCGAAGTCCAATGACCATATTTTGACCGACTTTAAGTAAAGGAAATTCCTGAACTCGGTTCACCTAGTCAGACCATTCTTCGTCTCGTCTTTGACTCCGGAGATGATACCGGGACTTTGGAGTTGAGTGGTTTTTCGTTCTTGGTGAGTGGATGTGGGTCCTCACGGGCACTTCAAGGGGGCCACCCCAAGGCAGCATGCTAGTAAGGCCAGGAGCCCCGAACGTAGCGTCCTTGGTGGCTGGTACATCGGCAAATTTGTGCCCATGCATTTCCCTTTCATTCCCTGCTCCATGGCACTGTGCGTAAAGCAAGAGCGGCGCCGGTTCACGGTGTCTCACATCCGCTCAGTCCTTCCTTCGTTTGACCAAGGGCCTTTTGGACCCCTCACCGAAACGACGGGACCACCGGGCGGACGTCGGAAGGACCGGTGTTTGAGCCCCAATTGACGGCTCCGAGGCGTGGCAGGAGAATGCTCGGTTTTTTCCGCGTGTTTGGATCCTTCGCTTCTGAAAGTGAGGCTTGCGAGCTCACCTCCTTTCTACAAGCGAGCCTACTGAAGGATGAGGTGCTCTCTAAGGGGGACTTCTCTCCAGCCATTTGGCGAGCCGGAGGAGGTTGTGTTCGACTGGACGACGTGTGAAGCGACGCCTCAGACAAGACAAGACCTGCTCCTCTTTGAAGCGAGTACAGGAAGCGTTGTAATTCACGGAAAAACAAACACAAAGGTTTCCATCAAGTTGCTGACCATGAAGACCATTCTTGAAGAAGACTCCCCGTTGAATGAGACCAGCTGTGGAGCAAGGTGGTTTGTACTGTAGTAGGATGTAGTAGGTGTTTGTAGTGGGTAACTAGAGGGCTTCATACCGGAAAGTAGTTGCAAACCTCGGGTTTCACCCAGCTTTTCGTGCTCTCGGCTCGCGCAGAGCAGCAGGGTGCTGTTTGTGTAGCGGGCACTTTTAAGGGTGACAGCTTGTACATGTTTGCACCAGTCGACTTGATTTGGATTTTGTAGGCATGAATTAGGTATGTAAATTTCACGAATGATCGGACGGTTTTGCGAAAGCTGGTGATGCTGCACCCGTTGGGAAGTTCAGGGTGGTTCGTAACCACAATCCTAAATAAAACAATCCTAAAACCCATGGTTCTTTCACACTTGCACTCCAAAAGCAACCTGGCTTTGGATAATACATTCAGAGATCTAAACATATCTAAACATATCTAAACACTTCATCCTTTCGGTGTCCTGTCCGTCTCAGCACCAGTTGCTGTTTCGGTGGTGTCGGTCCTGAGGTGACAGTGGCGGACTTCGCTTGCCAGGCGTTGATCACTTTGCTTTTGGACCAGAGAGCCTCCGGTCAGGACAGCGACAGAACAGCTCGGACAGCTCGTTCTGGGACTTGGGACTTGGGGCGTCCTCGCTCCGTTCGTAGTAAGGCCAGGAGCCCCTATGTAGAAGGCGTCCTTGCTCCTAGTAAGTGGAAGGAAGAGATCGAAGTCCTATAAGCCTCCCGGAAGATCGAACAGCCCAACCCGCAGCCGAAAAAAAAAAAAAAAAATGCGAGCCAACGGGCCTTCGCCGCCCAACGGGCCAACCGCCTTCTAGTGGTCAGCCTTTGGAGCCGGAGCCTTGATCGATGATAAGAAAATTGGTCTTTGCCCCGTCTCATGGAGTCATGGAGTGGTTTCTGCCCGTCAGTTGGGGAGTCCACTCCAGAGATTCTGTAAGGGGTCGGTCGAAAGGTCCAAGACCAAGGATCTAGCGAATGCTGCATTCAAGTCTTCAATAGTCTAATTAGGGTCGAAGAAGCTTAAACAAGCAAATCAAATCCAGTGTGTTTGATGTGACATCTCGTGCACACATGTAGGGTCTTCACTCAGTTTTGCGACAGGTTTGATGCTCCCCAATCAGAAGACATATATTACATATAATATATACATATATATCATGGCCTGAGCCATGAGTGAGAACAGAAGAACCAACGCAATGCTGAAATCGGTCGTGAGAAGAGCTTGCGACCTTGTTGTTGGTCACCGGAGAGAGAGAGAGAGAGAACTTTCATGGGTAGTCGGAGGTGTCCCCAAGGGTGAATAATGCCGAGTGGTGCCCAGACACATATTTGCCTAAAAACTACCCTAGAACCACCCCTAGGCCTCGAAGTACCTTCTAAGAAGCTGGGACTGGGGTGGGTTTGGGGGGTCCAAATACCTTCTGAGGAAGTACGACAGGAGCCACTTGGACCACCCCATGTATGTAAACATTGCAGACATAGAGGTGTGTGTGATCCAACCTTCGGCTATTCACATGTATGGCTGAGTCATCAGAGGCTGATCAGAAGTTTGGACAGGTGAGGGTTGGACATCTATCCAGGTCAACCAAATTTTATACTGGAGTTGGTGATACAAAAACACTATACTCAAGGAGTTCTTTGGACAATTCGGTACGTCTTTGGACTTGTGGGGTATGGGTCCGCCCACCCCCTTGTGGAACCTCTCTAAGTCGCCAAGGATATCCCTTACCGATGGTGGGAGAAGAAGATGCCAAAGCTTTGCGTGAAAATGCGGCCTTAGCGGGCAAGGTGAGGTGGGTTTCTACTTGTTTTTCCGCGCCTATCCGATCGTGGTGCACGTGGCACCGCGGTTTTTATGGGTGGTGTGGTGTAGGGAGACCTTTCTGCCCAGTGAAGAATTCATGAAAAACTCTGTTTGTAGACGAAACGCTTGGTCCTCCAAAGATGCATGGCCATGCCATCCACTTTCCGGTCAGTGTGTACACTTGCCAATCTCAGAAGACGGGATATGTTTAATGAAACCTAGCTGTGGATATGGGTACTCTCCCATTGGTTCAACACATTCCCTGACACTTCATTGTATGCCATATTTTCCTGCATTAGAGTGGTTGGGGGGGTCGATGTAGGCATATGGAACCCAAACAAGGAGTGCTTTGGGAAGCCCGCCGCCATGCGAGCGAGCGACGTGTCGCAGGCCCAGGTTTTGCTAGCCTCCAAAACGGGTGTCTATATAAATAGCCCGCACAAGAGATGTAATAGATTACATATATGATATTATACTATGTTTTTATATGATATTACAATATGTTTTTTTTAATATTATATGTCCTAAAAGGCTGTTGTTGGCGGATGTATCCTTTTTGAGGCCTTTTGGACCTTTCTTGCCTTGGTGTCAACGGTGATCCACAAACCAATGTGACCAGAGATGAGGCCCTGGAAGAGACCCACATGGAACCTGAAAGCCATTGGTTTGTAGAAGAAGCTAGTCTTCCAAGGGTCCATTTTCAGGTTCATGGTGAATCTTCCCGGGTCTACATACATTTACAGTACATGTTTGATGATTTCTGAACCCATCCTATGTGGTTCCTCACGTGTCCGCGACGGCCTCCACGTGGGACTCCCACGTGGGCGGTTCCGGACTCCCACAGGTGCACGGTCACGTGGCGAAGTTCCTGCCGGGTGTGACGCTGGAGGAGGTGTTGGATGCCTTGGATCGAGGAAGACACGAAGGAGGCGCGTGGCCTTCGCGCGTTCTCACGGCGCGGTCGGCCGAGAACGGGCATCTGAATGAGGTGCTTGGACCTGAGTCCACACATACCCGACCTCTTCGGAGGGGTTGGACACTAACCTCTGAGAAAGGGGTGAAAGACACTGAAAGCCCTTTGATTTGAGGGCCCAGATATGCCCAGATTCTTGGGTTGATTTTTTCTCCAGGAACTATCTCTAAGACTGGACTACACCTGGCCCCACTTCAAGTACCGGACATGGGACATGACCCAAGCAAAGAAACTTTTGAGACTTCAGGTATTTGCCTATATACATCAATTCCATTGAGACATCTTAAAAAACCACCCCGGATGTCAGAATCATATGCCAGTCCCATGGTTTTTGTTTACCACCCCAATGGATCGGTCAACAGGAAACCACCCCAGTCCCAAGGGACTGCAAACAACTCATGATGCTTTTGAGAGGGTGATCTTACTAGCCCTATGGATCCACGGATCCACCGTACCTCAGAAGGCATCCTTGGACCCTCCTGCCGACCGCCATACATAGTCTCCGTCCTCACCGACCTGGTGTCAGTGGATCCATACCCAGACACTCCATGGGACTGCCATAGGACTGCCGATCAGTTGGGGTGGTGCCAGAGGGGTCTGTCTGGGGCGGCAGTCCTATGGCACACATGGAGTGTCTGGGATAGGGTAGATGACCATTCAATCCCACCGTGACCAGACCGACCGGATGAAGATCCGTTCATCTTCCGGTCCGCTAGCGCTTCCGGTCGCACGGTCGGCGTGTGAGGAGGTCGGGGAGCGTTCATTCGGGCATCCAAAGACTGAATTTGGAGCAGCAACCACCCAAAAGAGGGACCTATCAAAACAGTGTTGAAATGGCTTGTAGATGGTTGTAGGTTCGTGATTTGAACCGGCCAACACATGTAGGTTCGTCGTGCGGTCCGCACGACTCACTCTGCGAGGCCGAAGGCTCTTTTCGAAGGCATTTCCCAAGACGAGGGTCGTTCAAGCTCCTTCAAATTCCGAGAAGCTTCCAAACAGAAATAATCAGACATCTATAGAGTGGATATCATTACAGTATATAGATCTATCTCCCCAGTTTCATCAGGGTTATCTAGTGTGCCTGGAGCCCAATTGACTTGGATAGAACAAGATAGAAAAAGATCATAAGTTGAGTGCTTTGTGGTCTAAAATAGAGGTAGGCTCTAGGTGTATCGTGTATAGACTCCAGGTGGTACACGTGGACTGCTCGGACTGCTCGTCCAACCAAGCGGAGGACTGGGTACCTTCTGGGTGCTGGACCCCATCGATGGCACCAAAGGCTTTCTGCGGAAGGCGCAGTATCCTGGGCCAACTGGCCGTGTTTCTGTTGTTTTTTTCCGGAGAAACCTGTGTCATTCATTGGTCGTTCTTCCGGGAAGCCTATATCGAGTCAACTCGAGTCAGGGTGGTTTTGTATGGATGTGCGGAAACGGTGTCATGGTTGTTTTTCACTCTCGATTTCGTGAACCCCTGAAACGGTAGGGCTCTAGGGCTCCAGTCGTGCTTGCTTCGGCTTCACTGGGCTTCACCCAGCTCTCATGGAGCAAATCCCTAAGGTATGCGATCTGCCTTTGTCTGGTGAAGGATGGTGACATCCTGGTCTCTGCGCTGGGATGCCCCAACCTACCAGCGCCTCGGCTTCGCCCGCGGCCCCTTGGGCGAGAAGTGTTCGAGAGGAGATGTTGGCATGCAATCACTAGAGAGAAGTCCGAGATGTCGGCCTGCAACCAGGCCCCATCATCCAAAACGGGCCCTGGTAATGGGATAGACCCAAGGCATGCAGATCGTTATCTATCCTCACTGCCAGGTGTCCTGGTTTGAGGGTTGGGCCCTCGGCTATGTCTCAATTGATAGGCCAGTGTGAGGGTTGGCGGATGAAGAAGTGGCACGGTGATCAAGCTGTAGGTGCCGCCAATGGAAGGTATTGAAGGAATTGAGCGAGCACTTGAGCGCTTATAGAGTCTAAGAGGATCTGAGTGCGACTTTGGCCTCTTCACCCCTCACCACATCTTTCACCATCCTTTGCCTAAACCACTGCCGGCCTATGCCACACCTTTCCCTCCTCCTTCCCCCCTTAAGCACGGGGGCCAAAAGATGCCTTCTTCCCAACCAAAGTGGGCGCCACCGCCTCTTCGTTCGCGTCAAGAAAAACAGCGTCGCATCCCGCAAAAATCAGGAAACTCCAAGTGTTTCAGCCTCCACCTAATAGCGTCCTTGCTACTAGTAGCTTCTTGTTACTAGTAGCAATGGCCTCCAACCTGACCAATTACTGATGGCCTCCACCGAGCATAGCGCCCGAACGCTACAGACCAAAACCATCTTGGAACAAATCCACCAGCTTCCAAACCCTCCGGACTCGTGGGTCCCTGTCTCGCAGCTCTACCTCTCAGGTGTCCTTCGCCGATCCGGAGAGTCCCATCGGCTGCGTTTTCCACGCCGCGAAGGGCCTCGGCTGTGTGCAGCTGAACCTTCACGACGGGGCGGAACACGCCGTCCGTGTGGACGCTCTGAGGGGCGCGGATGCCACGTGCGGCGGATGCGAGAAGCGCGGACGCGAGGAAGGGTGCGAGTGGTGGAAGATGCCGGAAGGAGCTGTGAAATCACAAATATTACTAAAAGATATTGCTATATTTCATTGGTGGACATCGTTTTGGTATTATGTATAATATTTATATATATATATATACAGAAGGGGTGGCCATGGGGCCTGGGTTTTGGTTTTCCATAAATGTTCATAAATATTAGGTAAATGCATCAGTGCCACAATCAAAACCAAAAAACACTGATAAATATGCATAAAGGATAAAAAAACACATAAGAAAAAAACAAAAAGAACCAAAAACCATGGGAAAACAAACAAACTAAAAACACAATTCTGGGAGACTCTTGGCTGGACCCCCCAAAATCAGAAAAAACAAAAAACCAACAAAAACCTTGGGAAAACAAAAAAAAAACAATTCTCAGAGACTCTTGGCTGGACCCCCCAAAATCAGAAAAACCAAAAAACCAAAAAAACCTTGGGAAAACCAAAAAAAACAAAAAAAACAATTCTCAGAGACTCTTGGCTGGACCCCCTTTTCCTCAAGACTTCCCCAGAATTGGTTTTTTTGGTTTTTTTGGTTTCCCCAAGGTTTTTTGGTTTTCTGATTCTTCTGATTTTGGGGGGTCCAAGCAAGAGTCTCTCAGAATTGTTTTTGTGTTTTTTGTGTTTTCTCAAGGTTTTTTGGTTTAGCATCTGAACTTACTTCTCACCTCAAGGCATCTGTTCTTTTTGCTTACGTCTGAAACCGTCTGAGCTCAACACTTCCTTCGTCCTTGTCCAAATCTCCATATACAAGTCTGAGTGCATTAACTGCTGACTGGTATCAATGCGGTTGCCACTTGCATTTCCAAACAGCTTGACATGCAGTTGCGAGGACACTCTGTCCTTTACATGAAACGGTTGGAAATCTTTGCGAGCGTAATTCTGTGCTTATAGCTCAAGCGTTTACATCTTATTCTGGCGAACTTCTAATTTTAATTCTAATTCCTTTCTAATTCAAATCTCATCTAATTTCAATTAGGCTATAGTTATAGTTCAATACAAGTTTATTAAAATTCGGTTTTACTTCAGTTTTATCTTAGCTCTAACTCAAATCCAATTTAATTCTACCTAATTCTATTCTAGCTCTAGTCTATTTAGTTTAAGAAAACACATGCTACAAAACCCCGTGTTTTACAGTATTTTTTGCTCTGGAAGTGCTGGGAACAAGACTAAAACTCTTTTTTGAAGTAAATAGTTAGATTTATTTATTGTCAGTAATCACTGGAGATAATATATACATATTAAACATGTTTTATGTACAAGCTTCTAATTCAAGAGCTTCCCTCTAGATCTCTGGGGATGATCAATTCTACAATAAAACTATATATAAGCTTTCCTTTCAAAAGCTTTCCTCTGGATCTCTGGAAATGGTCATGTCAATTGAAGCATGCTATATATCAATAAATAAGTCTTTCTTTCAAGAGCTTTCCTTTCATGAAAACACATATAGGGATATCTACTTTCCCAGAGATCCTGAGGAAAGCTTTGAAAATGCAAGCTCTTGCCCGCAGAAATCTAGAAGAAAGCTTTTAACATACAAGGTTTCTATATGGTTGTTTAAATCTAAACATGATTATCTGCAGAGATCTATAAAGAATCTTTTATAACATAAAAGAGTCTATACACAATCTTTCCAAATCTAAACATAATTATAAGCAGAGATCTAGAGGACAATTGTTAAAATAACCACTTTTATGTCATGCTTCTTTTCTAATTATCTTGTTCCAAACCATCTGAATGACTGATTGCTGCTTCCAAACCATAATATATTTGTTCATATAGAGTGAGAGCAAGAATAGATATGTGTGTTTATATGGAGAGGGGCTGCCACTAAAGCATGTACCTAAAATTTTAGGGAAAACCAAAACCCAGGCCCCATGACCACCCGCTCTCTATATATAATTGTAATACTATAAATCAGGTGAGGTTGACCGACCACCGGTTTTACCAAGGATTTGACACTACCACACCAGGTGGTCGTTCCCAGGCTATCAGCCATTGTGGGTGGAACAGAAGAGGGGAGGCCGCCACGGTCCCACAAATGGATCTGGTTTGAGTTGGTTTCCGTAATTTTTTTGGAGGGAAGCTCCACTCACCACAGTGAGTTGGTGGATGTCTCGTGGACATCGCCCAAGAATGTGCTTCTAACACTGAGAGCAAGAAGCGAAGCATTTGAGATTGGTTTGTTTGTTCCGTTCCACACAGCGATTTGAAGAAGCTTCATCGGTGTACACTCCCTGGTTCTTTCTCATGGAAGTGGAGTGAAAACCGCCTGTTGAGTATTCGCAACATGGTCATCCGAAATCGGGGCCATGTTCCAGCTAGCCATGACAATTCCAGGGAATGTCAACTCTATCACTGACCAGACCATTAAACCCCCTTCAACCTTGCTTGGCAAGGTTTGGTGAACCTCGGTCGCCCACCAGCTGAACCACCCAGTCTACCAAAGAAGCAGAACTCTCAGATTCGTATGAATTTGATGTCATGGCTATCCCCATGGGTTCGAGTATGTCTTTTCCTTTCCACTTAGTTTGGAAAAGACCCACTTGCAATCGGACAAGACTACTGTTAACATTGACACTACTAAGACCAGGTCAACCTTTCTGGACTGCTGGACGCTTCTGCAGAGTCCGAACCGCAAGGTTCCTCCAACGCCCCTTTTGGATCCAAACTTGGTGCAAGTGTCAAACTCATGCGAGATCTTGGGGTATGCAACAGTCCAGATTCATTGTACATGGTTATACTGATATTCGTGGCAAGTAGGACCTACTAGTTATCAATGTATACCATATCAATCCACTATATATGAGCTTATTGGAGGTGAAAGGCTTCCCAGCTCTGCATAATTTGACCTCACAGAACGCCCCAAGCCAAAGAATCGGAAGCACCCTCCAAGCTTCGTCCTCCCAATTGTCCGAACCTTGACTCGTCAAACGGACCTTCTTGTATGGACTATACTTACAACCATCACAGCCCACAGCTGCTCCAGGTACGTTGAATCGTACGAGTCGGCGCATTCCAGCCACAGCCAACACGCCCAGATCGCCGAACGCTTGAAGCTTGGGCCGCCTCGGCGCAGCTCGGTTTCAGCTCGGTTCAGTCGTCCCGGTGGTGTGGGAGGAAGTCGGGTTGTTGTTGTTTTTCTGCCGCGGTTTTTCCGGTCGTCTGGGGTAGAAAGCAAGGCCAATCTGAGAAGAGGCCCCCGGGGGCCCCTTCGGTTTGGTCATGTGACCCAACTGTCTAAAGAAGACAACAGGTTTGTAAAGGGTCCAGTATACTGGTATACCAAATCCTGATTTCAGTGCATACACACTCGCCACTCCGTCGTTGGAAAATCCTCGGAGTTTGGGACTTCGACGCAAAACACCCTCCTTGCAGAATTTCGGTCCTGGACAGGTAGGTCCGGTGGTTTCTCGCGGCGCGATCTAAAGGACATCACCCAGACACTCCATGTATGCCATATATGCCTACATTGACCCCCAAAACCACCCCAACTGATCGGTAAATATACCATACATGGAGCGCCTGGGTCATATCCTCAAGCGATCCTCGGCTTCGAATGTGGGGCGTTCAGAGTCCGGACACTGATTCGGATCAATCCAAGCGAGTTCAGCACCCACAGATAGGTTTGGAGTGCGAGTTCGTGTGACCAATGAATCCTTGTGACCTCCCAACCGTCTGGACCATACTTCAGATCACTCTTGCCTTTGTTCCCCCCAAGAGTCCCACCTTGGGAGTGATTCATTGAACAGTTCGGTGAAGTCGCTTCATCGCTTGACCTTACTTTGGTCTAAAATCTGTGCTCAAAACATGGTACTTCGGTCGCTCATGTCCAAACCAATCTTTCACCCGGTGGGGTGACCAGTTCGGCATGCTACTGGGGTCCGAAAGCCAAAGCCGATTCGAGGCATGGACAGCCAGTGCAAATTTGGAGTCTTGGCGCGGGGCGAAGCCTCACTCTATTTGCGGCTCTCCGATCGTGATCAATCCATTTGGGACATCGCGCCGGGCGCCATGGTCGTACAGGAAGCCGGAGGGCAGGCCTGGGGAGACCAGGGAGACCACGGAGACCAGGGCAGGCTTTGGTGGCGAGGTCCAATTCGAACATGGAGAGAGGATGACTATAAAAATCAAGAGGATATTGATCATGCGCGATATAATATCTATTACTTACAAAAAGCAGGCGCAGGCGCAGGCGCCCATCTACTGCCTTGGTCTTCCCACCAACGCGGTGACTTCTCGACTTGCCGGATCCTGCGCGTCAGGTGACGGATGTGCGTGGCCGGCCCTTATCCTTCTCAGCTGGTCGCACCGTAGGGGTCCCAGCACTCTTTGCCTCGAATGGCATGATGCATGAGGAAGTCCTTAAAGCCATTGCCGGAATGGACTCCTAGATGCGGATGTGCCGCGGATGTGCCACTTGGATTGTATGGCCGCGCTGTCTTTTTGGGGGGGGATGCCGCAAAAAGGAATCGGTTGACTGCGCTTGTTGAGTTTGGAGAGAAATCCACATGTTCCGGCTCTCCGTCGAAGTAAGCAAAAACATGGATGCATTTAATGTAAAGAGTGTTTGGTGTGGCTGAGAAAGAGCTCCCGGAGGAGCTGACAACCAGGTCTCAGCTTTTGACGGTGGTCTTTGGAGGTGTCCAGTGTTCGATCAGGTGTGGGCTGCATTCACGCCATACTGTAGACTCTTGGTTGATGCACCCAAGCTGGTGCTCCGATGCCTGGAATTTGAAAAAAAAACAAGGAACACATAGGAACAAGTGCATCGCTACTAGTAACAAGGGCATTACTACTAGTAGCAAACAGCTACTAAAATCTACCAGGGCCTCCTAAGGGGTGGTTCATGGACATCCCTTAACCTCTAAGGGCCTATTACATGCTATTACTAGACACCCCTCACCCCTTAGGGGCCCTGGTATAATGCTTTTATCCTTGCAATTGGAGCACTTCGGGGTGGGTGATGAGGCGATGTAAGGAGATGTCCAGGAGCTAAGGAGGAGCTACCCGGGAGACCCCAACCCCGTATACCTAGAAAGGGCATGTCATTTCAATGGGTTATGGATGTTCTGTTATATGTTTGTTGGGTAAATGAGTCTGAGTGTCAGACTATTTATTGCCGCCATATGCACTGTTGAAACTTGCTTGTCATAAAGAGACCGATAAAGTATCAATCTGTTTGGGGTTCTTTGTCGTGTTTGTTAGTACTTGTATATAAGTTGTTTTCGGGTCATACTGTGTGGCCCAAATGGACCAAGAATGTTCATCCTATCTGCAGGTCCAAACGCATCCAAGAGACCCCTTGCCAAAACAAAGGTATCACTTTGCACACTCCAGTCCCCTAAGCAGGTATCTCCTCAGGTTCGGTATGACTGGACCCTCCTGGCACACTGCAGTCCCACCGAACCGAGTTTCGGGGGGAGCAGACTAGAGCCCTTGGGACTGCAGACGAACCTCAGTAGACCTGGAAGTGCAGACCTGGTGTGCACAAGAACCCTGGTGTTTTCTGTCCAACACGAGGGTTACATATACTTGTCCTCTCCAAACAAAAGAGTGGACATGCGGACCCTGCGGACCCTGCGGACTGTTCAAGACCATCCCTGGGACTGGAGTTACAATCATCTATATCTACCCCATAGAAAATGACCCATACAACCCATCCATGTAAGAAACTATAAGGAACTATTGCAGTCCCGTGGATGGTCTGGTCTGGGTGCTGTCTCCTATTTTCTTTCCTTGCTCCTGTCCCTCCAAATCAGCGCTTTCGGCAGGTGAAATTTACGACGCTTTCTTTTGGCAGAGGCAAGCGATAGGCAATCTCAGGTTGCCAAGTTGGGCATGTCACGTCCACATTGAGGAATTTTTCGGGCCGTGTTGCGAGGCTCAATTGGTCTCGCGGCTCAGTATGGAATCAATTTGGTGCTGATCAACTCTGATGCACAACGATGAAATCCGTTGTATTCTTCCATGGCAAGGTTGACTATGGTTAATATGTAATCATATTTAGTCGAATGAGTCCGACAGGATAGGACGACAGAGAGTTCCAGATTGGATCCATCAACTGGCCGTGCTGTCGCGTGCTTTCGGTTGTAATTATAAGCTTCCGCCCAGATCAAGCCAGGACACCCAGGACACCCTGAGGGGTGCTAGTTGGCTACTTGATGCTGGTGATTTTTCTGAAACTGAGTGATCCCCTTCTCGGGAGGTTCCTTTTTCCCGTATACTTCCCTTATTAAACTCCGACTCGCGTACCGGAGCTTCACCGTCAAGACAAAAGCTAGCGACATGCAGAAGGGGCCATGTTCCACTTCCATGTGATGTTTTAGTCAGAGTCAGAGTGTCAGCAAATCACGAAAGGTAGCTTGAGCTACCTGAGTTCTCCTTGCTTTAGCAAAAATGTATTACAATCAGGAGTTGGGATTGTGCATTGAGTTTGGTCCTGTAAGTAAGAGTTGATTCTGTTCGTCGGGGGGGGGGGCCCCCCCTGGATCAAATCCCCCCTGCGCCGGTTCACGCCGTCATGGACTTTTACCAGGGTTGCTTGTGATTGCCTGCTACCTTTCGTTCACCCCCTCCTCTCTCAAGTCCAACTGTCATGATCTGTCATGATTCCTTGGCCTCCAAGCACGACCCCCCTCTGGGGGCATCCAGGTGAGAACAGGCTGGTCAGGGCGCATTTAGTGGAGTCGATGTGAACCATGAGAGGGCGGCCCTGGATTCATTCATTTGGAGCCGGAGCCGAAAAGTTCACCATGTCGACCGGAGCCAAGCCGGTCCTGGGCCAATGGAGACCTACCTTGGGTACAAACAAGCCACGACATGCAGACAGTGTCTGGTCTCTTGATGTTCCTTGATTTTCCTAAACCCCAACAAATTGGACTGTAAAACCTCTGGACTGAAACCTCTTGATGTGGGATGTGTTTACAAATCAACAGGATGGTCTAGGAAGTTGTTCGGCCCAGTTTTTGCCTTCTTTCTCCGGTCTCGTGTTCTTGGGGCTGCTCACGCCCTCGTCCTCGCGGCTAGAGTCTAGAGAGTGGTGTGGGACGGGATCGGAGGGCGCATGGTTGCGCCAGAGCTGCTGGGAGAAAACTTGTGTCATGGATATAGAGGCTCCAAATCAAACATGAGGCCGTCCTTACAGCATTGGTCGAGGCCGTGACTCGAAAAGTGGTGCCCGAAACCTTTGTCCAAGGTTCCCTACCCCTTTGTCCAAGGTGACTTGTTCCAGACGGGTCCGACATGGTCCGCTTCCACGTGCTCAGGGCGCCTCGCTGGAAGTCCTTTTTGGACCTTCCAAGTCGGGTGGTTTTTGGGCATCCTTTTCAACCTCTCAGGGGCTATTTGACACCTCTTGGAGGGTGGAAGTCCTATATATAGAGGGCCTCTTTTTGGAATCCTCTAGACCAGAAAAAAAAACACAGAAAAGGCCAGGAAGCGGTTTCTCCTTGCAGTTTGGAGAGGTCTTGACCCACACCTGTCGATGGCTTGAATGCGGAAGCCGCTGGATTCATGGTCCTTTCAGTGGAGTCAGCCGAAATCGGCAAAAACGTCCAGTTCATGCAGCATGTATCCCAGACACTCCATGGGACTGCCATATATGCCGCCCCATTGACCCCCAAAACCACCCCAACTGATCGGTATATTACCATACATGGCCATACATGGAGTGTCTGGGCATGGGGTTGTAAAATATGGAGGGATGGTGGGTCTTGAAAACAGGCGCCTTGCAAAAGATGAGGGTCGGTATTACATATATAATATATTATAATATATTATATGAGTGTTCAGATTTCAGATCACCCAGATTCGTGCGAATCTATCACCGGTCGGCCTCGAATCACCCATTACTCGTGATGCTTTACACGGTGCATCGTGTGTGTGTGTGTGTGTGTGTCCCACCCTGTTTCCACGAGTTTTATTCACTTATTTTTGTCATGCAGGGGGTCAAGGCGCGATATCACCAACCTTGACCAACGAAGCTGGGTGATTTATCGCGGGATATGGACTTGGCCAGTCCCATGTACCTGCACTAGTCTAGTCTCTATGCATGCCGTTAATTCAGGAGTGCTAAGTGTTCAGTAACTAGTTTCCGGAATACCTTGTTAAAACACCTACAAGTACGCTGACCTACCACATTTCCGTTTGTCGAGTCGAGTGCTAAGGATTCAACTAGAGTGCTAAGTATTCAGTAACTAGCTTCCGCTGGATTATCGCTCTGAATGAACCTTATCGAAGTGTCTGTATGTGTGTGTGTGTGTCGCGGTCATTTCGAGGGCACCATGCTGCGATGCTTCTCTGTTTGAGATCTCGGACATCGAATCACGGTATTTCCCTGGACACGGAATATCCGGGCCACGAGTCGAGAGCAGAGTCTTTGGTTACGAATGAACGAGTCGAGAGCAGAGTCTTTGGTTACGAATGATTCCAGTGCCAGCCCCTAGATCAACCATCGGGATCCGCACACAGTCTTTCTCGGATGACGAAAAACACCTGTCGGCAGCTTGGCAAGAAGTAGTCACAAACGTCCTCCTGGCAGTTGACAAGGCTGGCCGGAGACGCAAGCAGTGCTACAACATGCTACTACCACATCTGAGAACCAGTGTCATGGATCCGCTGGATCCAAGGCAAACGGAAGAGTAGTGCACAGAAAAGGTTTTGCAAAAAAACAAAAGAAACTCTCCTACTAACCGTGTTTCTCCACACACTCACCATAAAAGCAAATCCTTTCAGAAGACTCTTTTGCCGTCGCTGACCCACTGAAGAGCATCATTTCGGCTCTGCTGCGCAGACAATTCGAGCTTTAGGGTGGCTGGGTGGCTGAGCTGCGACCACAGCAGGCTCCAAGGGTGAAAAGGCACTGGAGAAAGTGGTGTTAAACATCACTCAGTGGTGTTCGATTGCTAAATCTACACCCCCCTGCTTTCCTTCCATGTCAATCATCTTCAATCTACTCTTTCTCCGCCTGCACTTCAAGGACAAATCACGAAACCACCACTGATTGTGAAGACACCCCAGCCCGGTTTACAGTGTTTTGTGGAAGCGCTTCAACTACCTTGTATCCGGATGTCCGAAGAAATCGACCTACCCAGAAGCTTGGCTGGATTTTTGCAGAGTGGGACCCCAAACATGTCTTCCCTGGACTGGTTGGATCTAAGCTGGGCAATCTGTCGTCCGTCGGTCCGTCGAAGACCCACCCTTTGGGAACACTGAGCTATACAAGTGTCTCGAGAGGGTATGCAATAAGGATCCAACAAGAAAGTGAGGACAGGATGTTGGAGTCCACAATCCTTGGTGATAGATCTTCGGTAAACACGAAAACAATCAACGGTGCTTTGGAATTCTACATGCGTTGATAGTTTACGATGAAGTTGTTCAGTGATGGAGCCAGTGAGCAACAGCATGTTCCAAGTCGGTTTCAGGAGCAGTGGACGTGGTGATTGTTCCCGTCAGAGGATGCGTTTGGCATTCTACAGGCTAGGTGGCTGGTTCTGAGTTTCAACCAGGGAGGGCCCAGCGCAGGTGCTCCAGATAGGTGTTTTGTGGTTGAAAGATGTCGAAGCTTCACTCCTGCGACCAGTGGGACACCTGAGCAGGTCCTGCATAGGGACTCTTCGGCGGGGAAACCAGCGAAGTGGCCACTGAGGGTTTGAGAGTGAGTTCGGCCGGCGAGTTCGCAGAGATCGGTGAGAAAAAGAGGCATGGAGAAGAACGACCTTGCAGAGCCTTGCGGAGCTGCAAGGAAGCTCCGCAAGGTCGAACGATGCAACTGGTTGCCCATGGTTGTTTCGTTGTATGGGTCGATTTCTATCACAGAGATCAAGACATCTTGTCCCAGAAACGCTCTTGAAAGACATCAGGTGCTTCAAGGTGCTCCGGTGCTCTTTTCTATCACACAGACCGAACACCGGAAATAGAACGTGACCTCCATTGGTGGGGTCTTTAAGACCTCAGAACCCGGTCTGTGATCGATCTGGTTACAAGACCGACCGTTTTTCCACCGTCTCAGACACAATCCCCACACGACGCCACACGATCGCTTGCCGTCTTGGGCGTGGACCCCAGTCGTGATTGGAGTCTAAAAGGTTTGTGAAAAGCCGAGAAGCTGCAGCCAGTGGAGAGCTTTAATGGATGAAGTGGATGTCCACACCAGCCCTTCCAACCAGAAGTGGATGAAGCTCCCAAAGCTGCAAAGGAAGACACTCCATGGGACTGCCATAGTTGCCTACATGAACCCCCCTGGCACCACCCCACACGTGCGAAATGGCAGTCCGTCCTGGCAGTCCCAGGAAGGCGCTCGCGTCGGAAGGCGGTCATGACACGCCCGTGACACCGTCCGAAGGTTTGGTTCTTCTCGTTGCGTCGCGTGTGTCACGCATTTGGGATCAGATGTAGGCCTGATGATGATGGGCCGTGATGTAGGCCCTTGCATGCAGATCCCCCTCACCCTGGCTGAGGAAGCTCATGTCATCTTATTTCTCATCTAGGCCCTTGATGAGGGTTCAAGGAGTTACACCTGCAACATGCACGTGTTACACCCTACACTTCTTTCCTGTAAGAGTTTAACGTCAACCACCGGGTGCTTCTCAGCGCTCCATCGCCGTCGGGTGCTTCTCTAGGCCGGTCCAGCTTTGGACGAACCACGGACTTCACGCGGAAGGCCGGCGTCGATCTGTCTCGGGGGTGTCTCTGTGTATGCACGGAGTCATAAGATGTCATAAGCCCCGAGGGCCACATCCACATCGTTGGACACCCTAAATCAGCCATCCCCAGCCACCCCCAGCCACTGAGGATGTGAGATAGGAGCCCTAGGGGGGTGTCTAGTTGTCTTCGGATTCTGTGTGTCAGTGCGTGTGTGTGTGTGTGTGTGTCAAGTCCTGTTGATAAGGACAGCTGACACAACTAACTAACTTGTACAGTTCAGCAGGGGGCTCTGGGTC